TCGGTTGTCTTTTGGTTTTGTTGACTGTTTCTTGTGCTGTGCAAAAGCTTTTTATCTTGATGACGTCCCAATAGTTCATTTTTGCCTTCGCTTCCCTTGCCTTTGGCAATGTTTCTAGGAAGAAGTTGCTGAGGTCAAAGAGGTTGCTGCCTGTGCTCTCCTTTAGGATTTTGATGGTCTCCTGTCTCACATTTGGGTCTTTCAACCATTTCAAGTCTATTTTTGTGTGTGGTGTAAGGAAGTGGTCCAGTTTCATTCTTCTGCATGTGGCTGTCCAATTTTCCCGACACCATTTGTTGAAGAGACTGTCTTTTTTCCATTGGACATTCTTTCTTGCTTTGTCGAAGATTAGTTGACCAGAGTTGAGGGTCCATTTCTGGACTCTGTTCTGTTCCACTGATCTATGTGTCTGTTTTTGTGCCAGTACCATACTGTCTTGATGATGGATGACAGCTTTGTAATAGAGCTTGAAGTCTGGAATTGTGATGCCACCAGCTTTGCTTTTTTTTTCAACATTCCTCTTGCTATTTGGGGTCTTTTCTGGTTCCATACAAATTTTAGGATTATTCCATTTCTTGAAAAAAATTGATGGTATTTTGATAGGGATTGCATTAAATACGTAGATTGCTCTAGGTAGCGTGGACATCTTCACAATATTTGTTCTTCCAGTGCATGAGCATGGAACATTTTTCCATTTCTTCAGGTCTTCCTCAATTTCTTTCATGAGTATTCTATAGTTTTCTGAGTACAGATCCGTTGCCTCTTTGGTTAGATTTATTCCTGGGTATCTTATGGTTTGGGGTGCAATTGTAAATGGGATCAATTTCTCTTTCTTCTGTCTTGTTGGTGTATAGAAATGCCACTGATTTCTCTGCATTGATTTTATATCCTACCACTTTACTGAATTCCTGTATGAGTTCTAGCAGTTTTCCACACAAATTACCATATTATCTGCAAAAAGTGAAAGTTTTACTTCTTTGCCAATTTGGATGCCTTTTATTTTTTATTTTTGTCTGATTGCGGAGGCTAGGACTTCTAGTACTGTGTTGAACAGCAGTGGTGATAGTGGACATCCCTGCATGTTCCTGATTTTAGGGGAAAAGCTCTCAGTTTTTCCCCATTGAGTATGATATTTGCTATGGGTTTTTCATAGATAGCTTTTATGATATTGAGGTATGTACCCTCTATCCCTACAGTGTGAAGAATTTTAATCAAGAAAGGATGTTGTACTTTGTCAGATGCTTTTTCTGCATCTATTGAGAGTATCATATGGTTCTTGTTCTTTCTTTTATTAATGTATTATATCACATTGATTGCGGATGTTGAACCAACCTTGCAGCCCAGGAATAAATCCCACTTGGTCGTGGTGAATAATCCTTTTAATGTACTGTTGGATCCTATTGGCTAGTATTTTGGTGAGAATTTTTGCATCCATGTTCATCAAGGATATTGGTCTGTAACTCTCCTTTTTGATGGGGTCTTTGGTTTGGGGATCAAGGTAATGGTGGCCTCATAAAATGAGTTTGGAAGTTTTCCTTCCATTTCTATTTTTTGAAACAGCTTCAGAAGAATACATATTAACTCTTCTTTAAAAGTTTGGTAGAATTCCCCTGGGAAGCCATCTGGCCCTGGGCTCTTTGTTGGGAGATTTTTGATTACTCCTTCAATTTCCTTAGTGGTTATGGGTCTGTTCAGGTTTTCTATTTCTTCCTGGTTCAGTTTTGGTAGTTTATACTCTCTAAGAATGCATCCATTTCTTCCAGATTGTCTAATTTGCCTGCATATGGTTGCTCATAATATGTTCTTATAATTGTATTTCTTTGGTGTTGGTTGTGATCTCTCCTCTTTCATTCATCATTTTATTTATTTGGGTCGTTTCTCTTCTTTTTGATAAGTCTTGCCAGGGATTTTTCAATCTTATTAATTCTTTCAGAGAACCAGCTCCTAGTTTCATTGATCTGTTCTACTATTCTTTTGGTTTCTATTTCATTGATTTCTGCCCTGATCTTTATTATTTCTCTTCTCCTGCTGGGTTTAGGCTTTATTTGCTGTTCTCTCTCCAGCTCCTTTAGTTGTAGGGTTAGGTTGTGTATTTGAGACCTTTCTTGTTTCTTGAGAAAGGCTTGTATTGCTATGTACTTCCCTCATTCTTGCACAGACTGAAAATACAAGTAGTTGGTAGAAGAAGCTTAAGTCTCTTGATTATACACACACACACACACACACATACACACACATCTGTCTCCCAGATAGCCAGAGGAAACCCAGATAACCACACCTTTAAAATTTTTTTCTCAAATCTAGCAAATTTCTCTCTGCTTCCTATGAAAATACTTAGTAAATTTCAAATAACCATCTCATCTAATTGTTATGTGTTTAAGCAAGGCCAGGATGTTAGAGGAAGTATACTAACAGTAGTATAAATAATGTCAAATGGCCTGAGACAATGGAAAAAGAGTTAAAAAAAAAAAAATCCATAGGAGCAAACTAGAAAATCAGTATAGATTTTACCTACTTACTCTAGGGATGGAGAACTCAGTACAACTGTCAGATACAATAACAACAAGATTCAGTTATATATCCTCCTGATGGTGTTGCTTTTAGAAACCATAATAATAGCAGATACCATTTATTTTGTATATTTAACTATATGCCAGTCCCTTTCCCAGTCATTTTACATAAGTTACATTTCATCACTGCTAAACCTTTAAAAAAATAGGTGGTATTCTTCCCATTTTAGGAATTAGGGAACTATATAAAACTCTTAGACAGAGTCTTCTGGCTCTAAAAGCAGTTCTCTTTATGCTACAAGATAAAGTGGCATCCTATATTATTTAAGAATGCAGGAAAGCATGGAGCATATGTGTTTACTAGAATGTACATAGTTATATTTTAAGGAGCATACAGAGGGGCCTTTGTAAAGAGTAGGACTCTACATTTCTTGCCAATCCCAACCTTTCAGGTAAACCCAGCTTCTGTTTCTGCTTCTTATTTCTAGACTGCTGACCGTAGCTAGAGAGGATTACGTGGTGTTTGGATTGCATGTACACGAATTCTGTTTTCCAGCTTCACTGAGCCCTCAGTGACTCTTAGGAGTATTTTTACTCATCTAGCATCATCTGTTGTACCTTCTATAACCCTGGCTTGAAATGTTTCTCATTCTTGTGAAGCTCCTAGCCCTACCCTACTCTTCTTCACTCTTAGCAGACCATCTCTTACTCATCAAGAAAATTGAGATATTTATATCTTCTCTTTTTTTGATCTTCCTTAGACTCTTAATTTCTATCAACACTTGTTACTCCCCAAGCTTCCCATGTCCAAATTGATCAGTACTTTGAAAATAGTCAAGTTTCTGGACAACCATATGTCTGCTTGAACCTACAAGTTCCACAAACTCTTTCTTCTTCTTCAGTGTATATCGTCCATAGAATTTATCTTTACTTCTGTGGCTTTGTTGCTTTCTGCTGTTTTCTAGGTAAAAATAGGTTCTACTACTTTCATGAAGTCCTTGAGGAAAAGATCCCTGTATAATTTGTCTTCATATTCCTCATTGCCTAATATTTAATATATTAAGTTTTAATTGAATACGTAATTCTGATAAAACTTGAGTTATAATAATGCAATAACAATTTTTTAATAATAGAAGTCTTGAAAAAATTAGGCAAAAATATAAACAAATTTATAGATTTATTGGAGCATAATGGAAACTGAGAAACATCAAAGAAAATGATTTCTCAACTTTTGAACTGCCTTTATAATTATTAATCAGACAGTAAATGGAATAAGTCTATGTCATGGTAGGAAGGAAGACTTGCAGGTGTGGAAAAGAGTGTCAAGCATATTCTGATGGTATTGTCACATTTTTGTTGATTGAATTCTTAGAAACACCATACTATTATAATGTGGTTATATGATATTAGTCTGGGTTATAAAATGAGAGTATTTAACTTTTCAAAGCACATTCCATCAGACAGAAAGGAGAATCAGCATTTAATTTCTGCGTTATTCTGTGGCTATAATAAAAATATTACTAATGAGGAAAAAGGTGTTAAAGTTAGTTTATGTCATATTGGGCTCACCATAGGCCTCATCCCTTAAAATGCATTGAAATAGTTATTTCAAATGAACTTATATATCAGGAAAGAAAACAGGTCATTGTATAGTTAAAGTGTTTTTTGTTTTGTTTTTGTTACAGGCAGCTGTTAAATCTAAGAAAGCTACAGATACCTATAAACTTTATGTGGAGAAGTATGCATTAGCAAAAGCCGATTTTGAACAGAAAATGACAGAAACAGCTCAGGTTGGTATTTTTAAGCTTTAAATCTAAAACAGGATATTTGTTTTACTGATACAAATAATATAATTCATGTGTCAAATAATTTTTTAGTCTGTTTTATTAATGCTGTTTTAAAGATACACATCTTGTTTTGGAGATCGAGGACCAAGATGCAATAACTATGACATTATAAGGGATTATTTAGGTGTATCAGAAGAGGCTGTTTCAAGAGAATTGGGGAAAGTGAGGATATTGGTAGATGATGAAAACAGGGCTGATAGTTAGCCTTATGTATGAATTGTAAAATTGACTTCTGCTTAAGAAAAAACTGGAAATGATTCATTGCTGAGAATATAGCCATTAACAAAGAATCAAGAATCCCTGCTCCTCATAGAACTTCCATTTTAGTTAGGGAGGACAGACAAAAAAGTCTGTTTCCCATAAACTTGGGATCATTTATATCCCATTTGATGTTCTTAGAGCCTTAATTAAAGGCCTAGGTTTAAGATGGGTACCTTTTATGAATCATACCTAAAACTCCTATCCCCACCCTCTTGTACTTTTTTCTTGTTTTGTTTTTCTCCTTAGCACCTATTACCATGTAATATGCCATGAATGTTGTTTACTCTTATCAGTCAGGATAGGCTGGGTATGGTGAGGTGATGAAACCCCCATATCTCAGTGGCTTACAATAGCAAGGGTTTGTTATGTTCTTATTCATCATGGGTTGGCTGTAGCTATTCTGCTTATTCTTTACTCTGCTGTTGATGCTGGTGAAGAAACCTCTTCTTAGAACATTATTCTTAGTCATCATATTTGAATGTAGTGAGGCACACTGGTTCTTCTACCCATGTTTTTTTTTATCGTCTATCTTCCTCCACTAAAATATAAGTTCTGTGATAACAGGGGTTGATTTGTTTATTATTTCCTCACCACTTTTAAAATAGCTTCCAGCTCATGGTAGGCATTCAATAAGTGTGAAGAAGGACTTAATGATCTGCCTTTTTAGATTCTAGGAAGTCTTCCTGCTTGGAGTGATGAATGATTCACATCTGAGAAATCAAAAGGCTTTCATGCTTGTTTGCAGGCATATATGCATCTGTCTTTACTTGCCATGTTGCAGGCACTGTGCTAGTTGCTGGGTATATAACAGTATATACATAAATAAAATATCTCCCTGCTCTAGGTGGAGTATACAATATAGAGGAGGGAGGCAAACATTAAATACATGATTAAATATAAAGTTATGATGAATTATTAAACCTTTTACAAGAGAAAAGAAGGATTCTATGAGATGGAATAATGGAGCAACCTAATTTGATTTGGATTTGGGAGTTAGGAAAGGCTTTTTTGGAAAAGTGAGATTTAAAACTGAGACTTGAGGGGCGCCTGGGTGGCTCAGTTGTTAAGCGTCTGCCTTCGGCTCAGGTCATGATCCCAGGGTCCTGGGATCGAGCCCCGCATCGGGCTCCCTGCTCAGTGGGAGGCCTGCTTCTTCCTCTCCCACTCCCCCTGCTTGTGTTCCCTCTCTCGCTATGTCTCTCTCTGTCAAATAAATAAATAAAATCTTAAAAAAAAAAAAACCATACAACTGAGACTTGAAGAATGAGTAAAGAGACACATTCTAAGGCATGAGTGTTCCAGGTATTGAGGACCCCTGGATATAAGACCCAGAGGTATGAAAAAGCTGTTGAATTGTAGAAAGCAAAGAGTGCTTACTGAAACTGAGTGAAGAGAGAGAGTGGGAAGAAGTAAAAGAGATAGGGAAGGACAAGGCTCTATAGTAAGGGTTTATTTAGGTTTTCTTTTTTTTCTTAAGATTTTATTTATTTATTTGAGAGAGAGAATGAGATAGAGAGCATGAAAGGGGGGAGGGTCAGAAGGAGAAGCAGACTCCCCACTGAGCAGGGAGCCTGATGCGGGACTCGATCCCGGGACTCCAGGATCATGACCTGAGCCGAAGGCAGTTGCTTAACGAACTGAGCCACCCAGGCGCCCCTTATTTAGGTTTTCTTAAGAGCAGTTGGAAGAGGGTTCCCCTTCTCCACATCCTCACCAACATTTGTTGTTTCCTGTCTTGTTAATTTTTGCCGTTCTAACTGGTGTAAGGTGGTATCTCATTGTGATTTTGATTTGTATTTCCCTGATGGCTAATGATGTTGAACATTTTTTCATGTGTCCAAATCCCAAGAAGTTAGAAATAATCTCAAAATTTTTAAAAAGAAAGAAAAAGAATAGGGCGTAAGTCAAATAAAGGAGAGAAAAATTAAAAAAAAAAAAAAAGAAGTTGGAAGACCCTGAAAGATTGTATGCAGCATGGGGCTCGATCCCAGTACCCTGGGATCATGACCTGAGCCGAAGGCAGACACTTAACCGACTGAGCCACCAGGCGCCCCCCTGATCTGCATTTTAAAAGATAATTTTGTGGAGCATGGATTATAGTAGGGCCAAACGAAAATCAAGAGTTTAGTTTGGAAGGAGAGTATAGTGGTCAGGTGAGGATGAGGGGCTGTGTGGTAGTTGAAAGAGAATTGAGTGTGTTTGGAGATGGCAGGGGTTGGAGGATGGGGGGATTATTGGGGAGATCAGGATCTCTTCTGGGTTTTGGCTTGTAAGGTCATGTGGTTAGAGATGAATGGGAAAGACTAGATGAAGAACTGTTATGTTAGTTTGAGGGGTTGGAAGGGGATCAGATGTTCCATTCTGAACATGTTATATTTGAGCTGCCTATACCTAAATGGAGACATCATGTGGGCAGTTGTGGAAGATCCAGATAATCTGGGCTGGGGATAATGTTCACAGTCCTTTGTTTACAGGTCTGAAATCCAAAAGCTCTAAAAACCGGAAGTTTTTTTTCTGTAATTCATTTGGCAGCAAAACTTGACCAGAACTAATGTAAGGCTATTAATTTTATCCTACCAACATTGAATATACATGTTTTCCTTTAGAAATATTAACGTGTTTGATACAGAGATGCCACTGCAAATCCTGCTTGCAGTATACGGTAACAACACCACATTACCTTTATTTTAAAAATTCAAAATGTTTGAACTCTGAAACATCTGGTCCCAGGGTTTTGAATGAAGGATTATGAGCTTGTGTAAAATAAGGGCTTGCCAGTACTCAAAGCCATAATGACATCATCTTTCAGTAGAGTGTAGGGAAGAAAGGGCCAAGCTCTGAGACACTCATCATTGACAGTTTGGTAAAAGAAGGGATGCTGAGACCCAAGTAGGAGAGGCCAGACAAGGAAGAAAACTGGGAAGTATAATGTCATGGCAGCTGGGAAATGATAGTATTTCAAGAAGGGTTTAGTTAATTGTAATAAATGAGCCTCTAACTCTAGTGAGAGAAAAAACTTCAATTTCTATAGCAACCAGCATTATTGTAGACTTCAGCAAGTGTTCTTTTGGCTTTTGAATCCTTAGGAACACTTGTTTATAAGACAATTACTGGTTCATTAATTTTGCATCAATGTGATTAGTTTCTGTCAGAAAATGTGTGCCTTTCAGCTATTTAATTTGGAAAAATTAGAATTTGCTAGAGTCAGCTTTTATTCGTTCCTATTATTTTATAAAAGTGTTTTGAAAGAATTTTGAGCACTCATCTTTCCCTCTCATTTCTTTCTATTTTTTCATTACTTTTTTTTTTTTTCCACATTGGCATTTTGTTTATTCTGCTACTTCCAAGATGGGGACATTAATATATTTGAGCAGATGTATAACCATGCTGCTTTTAAGTAAAGGTGATGGTTTACTGTGCTAATGTGTATATGTTTGTTCTCTCTCATGTTCCCTCTTCGTCTCTGTCTGTCTGTCAGACTAGTACAACGGCAAAATGCGCTATCATTTCTTAATGGATAGTATACTTTAAATTTTAATTTCAGTTATTTAGAAGTGAAAAGAATTCTTTTACATTTCCATCTTTCTTTGTTCCAGGCCAAGCATGTTGACCTGATTCACTGTCAGTCTAGTGAAAATCAGATTTGGGTGACAGGACCTATATTTACTAGTGGGAAAAGAAGTTGAGTCTGTGGGATGAAGGAGGTTAGGATTTATTTGGAGTACTGTGATTTAATTATTTTCATTTGGGGTTAGGAAAAAACATTAAAATTGTGAATTTTCTTTGTTTATGCTTTCTACTATTATTTAATGACACTTAAGAACTGGAAAGAATATGAAGATTTTGTTTAAACAGATGGCTCATTCAAGGAAGCTTTGAGATTTGCTTAAACAACAACTTCAGATTAGGGACTTTTAGTATTAGGGTGCTTTTATGTATTAGAGTGGCTGACAGAATTGTACTTTTAATTTTTTATTTTTATTTATTTATTTTTTTAAGAGAGAGAATATGTGAGTGGAGCCGGGGGAGGGACATACGGGGAGAGAGAATCCCAAGCAAACTTCCCATTGAGCGTGGAGCCTTTTGTGAGCCTCGATCTCAGAACCCTGAGATCATGACCTGAGCTGAAATCAAAAGTCAGATGCTTAACCGACTGAGCCACCCAGGCCTCCCCAAAATTGTACTTTTTAAAAAAATTAATGTAACAATACATATGAATGTGGTGAATATGAAATTGCAAGGAGGAAAAGTCTGATTTGTTCAAGAAAGTTCATTTATTTATATCCAAATACTAGAGACTATAGTCCCATTGTTGAATTACTCTATGTTTAGTCATCACTAATTCTGAGGAATTGTGATATTTAGCAGATCCCCTACCCCCCCCCCAAAAAACCCAGCACAGTTTCTAAATTGCATCTAAATCACGCTTTGAGGGCGCCTGGGTGGCTCAGTTGGTTAAGCGACTGCCTTCGGCTCAGGTCATGATCCTGGAGTCCCGGGATCGAGTCCCACATCGGGCTCCCTGCTCAGCAGGGAGTCTGCTTCTCCCTCTGACCCTCTTCCCTCTCGTCTCTCTATCTCTCATTCTCTCTGTCTCAAATAAATAAATAAAATCTTTAAAAAAAAATAAAAAAAAATAAATCACGCTTTGAGTTTTTGTGTGGCTTCATGCTTCAAGATATTTTTAAATAATTAAGGATATGTCTTATTCAGTGTAGCTCTTTCAAAAGAGAATGAAGGTGGCACAGTTTTCTTGGAATTAGGGATTATCCGTATGAAATTTGTGGCTGTTTGACCTAGCTTTTCTGGATTTGGGTCTTACCAGTCTGTGAGAAAATATCTTATTCATTAAATTGCAGAAATTTAAGCTGAAGGCAAATTCTTATAATAGGAACATAAAATAGAATCATGCTTCTGTGGGTATTCCTCACTTCTTAAGAAAGATATTCAGAATCTTGAAATTCTCATTGATTTGGTCAAATTTAGTGAAAGCAAGACATTTTAACTCCACCATTTCTCATGAATAAAATTGAAGTTTTTGAACTATTGTTACATTATTGCCAAAACTATAATTTCACCATTACTGATTTTTTTTAAAAAGTTCAAACCCTTGTGCAAATATGAATATGATCATTTAGCTTAGTGATTTTCTGATCACATAACTCAGTGCTAAAGAAAATTGTGTATTAAATATGGGGTGAGGAAACTTTATTTGATAATCTAACCAGAAAAAATAACAAGGCATTTAGGCCTATTCCTTAGAACTGATTAAATTTGGGGAAAAAAAAAAGGGTAATCAGGTTTGTGCAGTCGAAATGACAAATGTATTTTGTTTGAAAATAGCTAGTTCAGCATTTCCCAAATCCTGTTTTGAGGAATATTATTGTTGTGTGAGATATCAATAGATACTCAGAGAAGAAGAAAAACACAAAGGACTGTGTGGTCAAAGAAATTTGGAAAACACTGGGTTAAGCAAAATGAAACATGTTTTATTTCAGTATTTCTTAGGCTTCTTAATTTGTTTATTGGAAACCAAGTCAAGCAGTGGTTTTCTTCCCGGGGAATAAATATCAGAATGACCTGGGAATTTTTTCCAAACAACATTCTCATCTTTTTCCACTCCCATTCCCCAGGGCATAGTAGAGGATCTATGCATTCTATAGTTTGAAAACATTTTCCTGCTGACTGGATGTATCCCCACCTTCTGTTGAGAACTGCTGAGATGGAGTATACAGGCTTTTCTATATTTCTTTGACCATAGATTACCTCTTTTGAAGGCCATGTATTAATATTTCAAGGATTAGAAAGACACTTTGAGAGTCTTCGGGCTAGATTATAAAGTCTTCAGAAGTAAACAGTAGCTTTTGCTCTGCCAACTAACTGCTCTTCAGTTGGAAACACTTCTGCCTTGGCTTTTGTGACACTTCTCATTTGGATCTCCTTCCAATTTTCTGACTGTAATTATAGATTTTAATTGTGGTGTCTTCAAACTCTGAACAAGTTCATACATGCCTGAGAAATGGCATAACAAAAAGTTAATATATTAAAAAGTTAAACATTTCAGTATATTTACTGGATCCATTTGTCTAGAAGTATTGTTAAACATTACATAATGTTAATTCACTAAATTTGGTTAGCTGTATTGAGATGATTTAAAAGGTCTTTTGATTGCAGGGGCATCTGTCTGGCTCAGTGGGTAAAGCATGTGACTCTTCATCTCAGGGTCAAATTTGAGCCCCACGTTGGGTGTAGAGATTACCTAAAAAAATAATAATGTTAAAAAGTTTTGATTTCAGAGTGTGTGTATTTTTTATGTATATATGTAACTTTTCATATTTGTTTTCCAGAAGTTTCAAGATATTGAAGAAGCTCATCTCATTCACATAAAGGAAATTATAGAATCCTTGTCAAATGCTGTAAAGGAAATTCATTTGCAAATAGCCCAGGTAAGTTTTTCCTTTTGTTGAACTGATTCATGAAAATTTTATGTTCATTTATGACTCTTTAAAAATCCAAAACTCAATTTTTTTTTTTAGGTAAATACACATTCAGATAAGAATGTGTATTTACATGTATTAAATTTAAAATAAACTGGATTTTTTGGGACTCCTGCGTGGCTCAATTGGTTAAGCGTCTGCCTTCAGCTCAGGTCATGATCTCAGAGTCCTGGGATTGAGCCCCGTGTTGGGCTCCCCACTCGGCAGGGAGTCTGGTTCTCCCTCTCCCTCCCTCTTGTGCTCGCTTGCTCTTTCTCTCAAATAAATAAAGTCTTAAAAAAAAAAAAAGAACTTGTACTTAGAAATTTTCCAAAAATAGGGGCTCCTGGCTGGCTCAGTTGGTGAAGCATGTGATTCTTGATCTTGGGGTTGTGAGTTCGAGCCCCACGTTGGGTATAGGAATTACTTAAAAACAAAAAAATCTTTAAGAAAAAAATTTTTTCCCCCACAAATATAAAAGCAATTTAATTATGACAGTTTGGAGTGCATGAAATAGAGTAAAGATGAGGTCTGGTATTTTTTATTATTAAGGATCTAAAAATTATTAGAGATCTATATAAGTTTTAATTTATCATAAGAATTATGTGTCTAAAGCATTCAAAGATGAGGATAGTAAACTTCCTTGACTTCTAAAGACTGTGGGGCTGTATCTTCAGGGGTTCATGTAAACTGGTTGATACCCACAGGTCTACTAACACTACAAGGTAACAGAGCATGTTAGGTAAATGAAAGCTCTCAAAGGCTTTGGGTCAAAAAAAACCACATATTTTAGTGCAAGGAATTTTAATTTCTTTGTGCAAGTTTTGTCTGAAATACAGTAAGAATTTTTGATGGAAAAAGAAAAAATATCTTCGTTTCATTTTAATAGGTCCATGAAGAATTTATAAATAACATGGCTAATACTACAGTTGAAAGCTTGATTCAAAAATTTGCTGAGTCAAAAGGCACTGGGAAGGAAAGACCTGGTAAGATGACAAACTCTGGGGGCGCCTGGGTGGCTCAGTTGGTTGAGCATCTGCCCTCAGCTCGGGTCGTGATCCCGGGGTCCTAGGATCGAATCCCACGTCAGGTTCTCTGCTTGGCAAGGAGCCTGCTTCTCCCTCTGCCTGCAGCTCTGCCTGCTTGTGTTCTCTCTCTCTGTCAAATAAATAAAAATAACATCTTAAAAAAAAAAAGATAAACTCTGTAAGTAAATGTATACAAATCTCACATCTAGCAACAAATATATTTTAATTTCCCAAACTGCAAAGTGGAGCTTAGGAGATACCTAAAAATCTGTAAAATACCAAGTATCATTTACTTTGTGTCCGATGATATGTTAAATTAATATTTTTATTCTGGCCTCTAGTGGTTAATAATTTAATATTAAAGTGGTTATTATAACCTTAATATGTTGTCATTTATTTACATTTTTCAAAGGCTTAGCAACAGAAGCCCAGTTTATTATTTTTATTTTATTTTTTATTTTTAATTAAAAAATTTTTTTTAAGTTTATGGACGTTGACACAGTGTTATGTTGGTTTCATGTGTGCAACATGGTGATTCACCTTCTCTGTGGGTTATGCTATGCTCACCACAAGTGTAGCTACTACCTATCAACCATACAACACTATTGCAATATCATTGTCAATATTCCCTATGAACAGAGGCATTTTAGTAAGAGGAAGATGGGAGAGAATATTGAGCCCTCAGAGCATTGAGGTCAACAGAGAACTGTAAGAGGAAGATGGGAGAGAATATTGAGCCCTCAGAGCATTGAGGTCAACAGAGAACTTTTCATAAAATTTAATAACTTGTAAAATTTTCTTATATATATTTGTTGCATACATATGTTGACTATATATGTATGTTGGATATATATATATATATATATATATATGTTGAATATATTACCTATATATTTGTTGCATGCTCTAAAACATTCAATGTTTTACACACTGGAGATAACCAGTGAACAAATGAATACAGGAATCCTGGTTCCTGTTTTATGAACAAATAATTACAGTATCCTGAATCTTTAACTTTTAATAAGCATGTTATGATCTATCAAATGTACTAAGCCCATTGTCTTGCTCTGCTCAGCATAGTCTTCCAGATTTCTTGATTTTGTTTATTGGTTATGATACCATGTTCTTGTAAGATATTTGTTTCACTCTACAGGTAAAAATAATTCAGCCTAGTAAAGAAAATACGGTTTGGAATTCAGGAAAATGGTTAAGTGATTTGTCAGGAAGTCTAGGAGCCATTTTTCTTTAGTACAGTTCCCAGAACTAAGGCTTGTAACCTAAATCTTCTTCACTTTTTCTATTCAGATTTTATTAATTTTCAAATCATTGGTTCACTTAATATTTTTCCCTTCAAATTTTCTTTTCATGCTTTCTCTACCTACCTGTTCAATTGCAGCATTTTGTTTCTGAATACTGGGACAGTAGAGATTTCTTCTCTAATCCATTTTACATGTTATACATCACATTCATATTTTGACTATACAATTATGAACTTATAATTGCACTACTCCTAAATCTTTGACTTTTCATTATAGACAGAATGAAATTTAGGCTCTGGATTTGGATTTAAAGCTTTTCAGGATCTGCTCTGACTAGTCTTTAGTTTTTCTATTATTAGCCTTCACTGTAGCCAACTGGAACTGCTTGCTGTTTCCTATACATGCCCCTTTTCCTTCTTGGTACCTTAGTTGCCCTTATATTCTTATTCTAGGAAATGCTATATCCCATTTCCTTCCTGCTCCACGTCTTCCTATTTGTCAAGCAAATAAACTCTTAAATACCCAGGTCATTTGCTACTTCATCGAAAGTGCCAGAGAACTTGAACTGTACTTTTTTCCCCCTCCTTTGTTATTGGTGCTGTCTACCTTAAATTTTAATAATTGTGCAGATGTGAATAAAAGTTCTGTATTTGATTCATCTGTTTATCTTCTTTATGGGTGAACAGTACATTTTGGTTGAGTGAGTGAACAAATGGACATATCATAGTAAAGGTAGGATGTTGGGAAGGTTGCAGTGGATAGATTTGCTGTTGCTATTAGAAGAGTCTTGGTGAGGACTAGTACATAATTATGGTTAAAGTTTAGTGAGACTTACTCTCTGCCATGTAATGTGCCAACCACTTTGCAGGCAAATTTTGATCTTCAACAGCTGTTTGAAGTAGGTACTATTATTCTCATTTTAATGATGAGGGAAATGTTGAAAGGTTAAATGATTTGCCGAAGTTAGTACATGGCAGAGCAGATGGTAAAATGCCAGGATTCTTGACACCAGGGCCTGTGCTTTGGAGAAATTAGAATAGAACTGAGTAAGTTCACATATATAAAGAGAATGAGGATGTTGAGATATGTAACTACAGAAAAGTGTTAAACCCTAAAATTCCTTATAAAGAGATTAAATTATGGGGCGCCTGGGTGGCGCAGTTGGTTAAGCGTCTGACTCTTCATTTTGGCTCAGGTCATGGTCTCAGGATCGTGAGAGCAAGCTCTGTGTCAGGCTTTGTGCTGGGTGTGGAGCCTGCTTAGGATTCTCGCTCTCCCTCTGCCCCGACCCCCTGTCTCGCTCTAAAAAAAAAAAAAAAAAAGATTAAATTTTAAGTGAAGACCAGTTAAGAGAGGTAAAAACAGTTGGAGAACAAATACAGTTTTTATATAGAGCATTGAGAAGTGCTGATAGATAAAAGCAAAGCTGTATTGCCCGACTAAAAGTGCCTTAGAACACTAAACAAGATCAGTAAATTGTATTATTATCAGTATCCTGTTTGTGACATTATGTTGTAGTTTTGCAAAATGTTATCATTGCAGGAAATTGGGCAAAGTGTACAAGGAATCTCCCTGTATTTTTTTTTTTTTACAACTGTCTGAATCTAATTATCCTAATAAAAATTACAGTTATTTTAGGGGCACCTGGGGGTCTCGGTTGGGTGTCTGGCTCATGGTTTTGCCTTGGGTCATGATCTCAGGGGTCATGGGATCGAGCCCCAAGTCCAGCTCCGTGCTCAGCGTGGAGTTCACTTGGGATTCGCTGCCTCTTCTTCTGCCCCTCCCCCAGCCTGTGCTTGAACATGCTCTCTCTCTCTCTAAAATAAATAAAATCTTTTTAAAAATTTCAGTTATTTTCTTATCTGTAGTATTACTTAGCCCTGTAGTTTGTGGTCTGTTCTTTACTAGCAGTGAAATTTTTAAGCCTCATTGCTCTCATCTGTAAAGTGGGGATAATAATAGTATTTCTTCATGGGGTTCTGAGGGTTATATGAGATAATGTAACATTTATTGAATACTTAAATGCTATGTTAAAACTAATACATTTCTGATAAGTAGGTAGCTACTAATAGATACTGTTTCTTTTATAAATTTAAATTTACTGGCCTCAGGATATATTGTGACATGTAGAAGATCCCTGTAGCTAAATGGTAAGGCCAGGAATGGTGATGACATGGACTTTCTTAGAATAATCACTAAGCCAAGAATTAGGTGACTGTTTTAGGGTGACTGTTGACACTGTGACTATAAATGACTGATTTTCAAAAAAAGTGATCCTAGAACTAACTTTAAAAAGAAAGAATGGTGTCGGAGTGGAGTGGGTGGAATAAATATTACTTCTCTAGTTGGCTTGCTATGGGTGACTAGTTAATAGCTCTTTCTTTGTATTTGTTCAGCTTATGGGCACCTGAACAAATTGAGTCTGGGGGCCTATTTCAGTGATGAAAATTTTGTGTTTCTCAGAAAAATAATATACTTAAAAATTTGCATTTGATTGTATGGAATTCATAGACTTAAAGGATTTTGTTTTGTGAGATGTATTCTAACATTCAATTGTGTGAACTGCTAATTGCTGTTAATATTTTATTTCTCTTGTTTTGTAAGGGCCTTCTCTGGTGGATGAATTCCTTCTTAAACTAGTTTTCATCCTGTGGGATTTATATTTTAAAAAGAAAACAAGTTTGTTAAAAAATTTATATATCTAAAAATTAACCTATTTTTCTTGTGCTGAAAAATGACCATTTTTTCTTTAGTTATTCAAAGATACAACCTTTAACTTTATGTCCAATTTTCCTATGTAAATCAAACACTTTGAGAACATTAAAACTTTTTTTCCTATTCATTGAGACTATTTTTATGCTACTTATTATATGAAGTGCTGTTTTTGTCATTACTTTTTAAAAAATTAAGATGGGGCACCTGGGTGGCTCAGTCAGTTAAGCGTCTGACTCTTGGTTTCGGCCCAGGTTGTGATCTCAGGGTTGTGAGATTTGAGCCCCCATGGGGCTCCATGCAGAGTCTGCTTGTCCCTCTCCCTCTCCCCATCTCCCCACTCATGCACGCATGCGCGCACACACACTCTCAAATAAAGAAAATCTTTAAAAAAATAAAAAATTAAGATATAATTGACATATAGTATTGTATTAGTTTTAGATATGCAATGTAATGATTTGATGTATGTATATGAGAAATGATTACCAAAATAAGTTTTAACATACATCCCTACACAGTTATTTTCCTGGTCATGAGAACTTTTAAGAACTACTTTCTCAGCAGCTTTCAAATACACAATACAGTGTTGTTAACTGTAGTCACCGTGCTGTATTATTACTACATCTTCAGGACTTATAATAGAAGTTTGTACCTTTTGACCATCTTTAATCATCTCACCCACTCTTCACTCCCCAACTCCCACTTTTAGCAACCACCAATCTGTTAACTGTATCAGTGAGTTTGGTTTTCTTTAGATTCCACATATAAGTGAGATCATACAGTATTTGTTTTTTTCTGACTTAATCACTTAGCATTATGTCCTCAAGGTCCGTTCATATTGTTGCATGTGGCAGGATTTCTTTCTTTTTTTTTAATGGCTATGTAATTTTCCATTGTATATATACAACACATTTCCTTTACCCAGTCAGTGGACAGTTAGGTTGTTACGCCAACTTGGCTATTGTAAATAAGGCTGCAGTGAACATG